AAGATTGGTGAGGCCCCTTGCAGTACCAAGGTCGGCCACCAGGAGGCGAGTTGAACCCAGTCGGGTCTCCCCACCTCCCACGCCCCAGCCTGAACCTCCTCTTATCCACTCTTACTCAAGGGTCTCAAATAGGGAACTGGTTGGTGACTCTAACCCTGGAACTCCCCAGACAAGGTAAAGACAGAGCAGACCCACCTGGTCTCTTTCAGCACCTCTCACGGGGAAAGGGTGCCTATGGGCTGTACCTGGTCCCCCAACTCCCTGTGCTGGCTAGTTTTTATGTCAACTTGACACAAGCTGGAGTCTTTTCGGAAGAGGGAACCTCAGCCGAGAAAATGACCCTACCAGACTGGCCTCTGGGAAAGCCTGTTGTGTGTCTTCTTGATGGGTGACTGATGGGGGAGGAGCCAGGCCACTGTGGGTGGTGCCGTCCCTGGGCTGGTGGTCCTGGGTTCTATAAGAAAGCAGGCTGAGCAAGCCAAGGGGAGCAAACCAGTAAGCAGCACCCCTCCATGGCCTCTGCATCAGCTCCTGCCTCCAGGTTCCTGCCCTGCTTGAGTTCCTGTCCTGACTTCCTTTGATGACAAATAATGATGTGTATGTAAGTGTGAGCCGAATAAACCCTTTCCTCCCCAACTTGCTTTCGGTCATGGTGTTTCATCGTAGCAATAGTAACCCTGACCAAGACACCCCTCGTAGCCCAGCTTGGAGCTCACCTCAGTCTTGCGGGCCCCAGATCACAGGTTTGGTTGCTAACCAGAGACCAAAGTCAAAAACCAGTTATGTGCCTCAAGTGTCTCAACCACTCTTGCCCCTATATCCTCTTCTGTAAAATGGGAACAAATACACACACCCCAAAAAACTTGCAGGCTGTGGTGTGGACGAACCACTGGCACCCACTGCCAGGCTCCAGGCTGAATCCTCTAGACAGGTTCCCTCGCTGGGACCCTTCTACCAAAGTTGCCATGCCTATGTCTACAGAGCACGGTCAGGGTCCAGGCTAGGGCTTGGGACCCAGGGATGGCACGGTGGAGAAGACAGACATCTACCTCAGAGCCAGGATGTAGTTTGATGAGGAGATGTACCATAAACCAAGAAAATAATAGCAAACTGTGAATATTGAAGATGAACAAAAGGCTCTCCTTTGGGCCTGGAGGCAGGGAAGGCCTCTTGGACCAGAAAGATATGAATGAGCTAAGTAAGCATGGACCAGGCCACACACTGGATGCATTATTGTACGGCATGAGGTCCTCATGAAGATTAGGTTCAACCATGAAGTGAGGGTGCCCACTGTACCCGGTGTGGCTTGATAAAGAGATAACTGTTGTGTGGGGCTTGCTGGGAGCCGGGCACCGTGCCCAGCACCTTCCTGATTATCTCAGAATGCACCGAGAAACCCCGACAGAGACCTGCATGTGACTCCATTTTATAACTAGTGATCCGGAGGGGTTGGTACACAAGGCCACAGGTCAGGAACTGTGGCTCAGAGTTCAAACCCAGGTATGTGCTTCCCCACCGTGTGGCATCTTAACTACCGGGTTGTCCGTATCCTCCTCCTCCTCCTCATCATCATCATCATCATTTATTGAAAATGAGGCTGTTTGGTACTTCTCTGACAATTATCCTTAAGAGCAGAAACTCACCGAGTAATGGTGGCGAGCACCTTTAATCCCAGCACTCGGGAGGCAGAGGCAGGTGGATCTCTGTGAGTTCGAAGCCAGCCTGAGCTACAAAGTGAGTTCCAGGACAGCCAAGGTTACATAGAGAAACCCTGTCTTGAAAACAAACAAACAAACAAAAGTAAGAACAAAAAAGAGCTAAAACTCTTGGCTCTGACCCCAGGCCTCTCTGACACCCCCGCACCCTGATGCTCATCGCCATCAGGGTGGGGACCCATCTGAGCCAAGGCCGAGGGGACCCCACCGACCCACTCCCCACTGTGGTAGCTGGTGAGACCTCAGCAAGAGGCGGGACCTCCCTGTCCTGTGATGGAGAGAAAAGGCCTGTGATTCCCTCACTGGAACTCACTTAAAAGGGCTGCCCGTTCTCTCCAGCCCTCACTCCAACCCCAACAGTTCTGGGCTGCTTTCCCCAGGGGCCATCTGGGTGGCGCACAGCAGCTGAATCAGGAGAAAGTCTAGGAAGCCAGGCTGACTGCCCCTGCACAATCTGGTATCCACCCTCAGGGTCCCCGGGGCCCCGCCTCCTGTGGGGTGACAAGACAGGACAGATGCTCCCGGAGTGGTAGCCATCCTCACTCCGGCTTGTTGTCCCATAATCCCCAGCCACTCCCACAATGCCACCCTTACCTTCCCGAAGGACAGTCCCCAGACCAGCACAGCAGCCTACAGCCCAGCCGGGACCAACCTGGACTCACGGGCCAAAGATCAGCTTCCGCCACCGAGGCCCGGCCCCTCCTCCCTGTTAAAGGGACAGTTCCTGATTCTGGGTCCCGATAAAGACTCAACAGCAAAAACAGCCAAGACGGATTCATGGGGATAGTCAACCCTCCCCTCTTTCCTCATGCAGCTCATGGCTGCATGGTGAGTGACCTGGGCTCATCTGGCCGATGGGGAAATGGAGGCTCAGGAAGGAACGCATACATCCACAGGGACTGGCCAGCAAGAGGCGGAAGGAACCTCTCACCTTGGACCACCTTCATTAACACAGCCACCCTAGATCTGACATATCCAGAACTGTCCTTAGGTCAGGCCACGTTCCCCGGACCACACGGGAGTCAGCTTAGGTTTGAGCCGAGAAAACAAAGATGCAGACCAGGCATGGTGGCGCACGCCTTTAATGCCAGTACTCAGGAGGCAGAGGCAGGTGGATCCCTGTGAGTTCGAGGCCAGCCTGGTCTATACAGCAAGTTCCAGGACACGTGGGGCTACATAGAGAGACCTTGTCTTACAAATAAAAAAATAAATAAGTAAAAGGAAGATAGAAAGAAGACAAGGGGAACTGGTAGCCACCCTGTCTGAATGGGAAGGGTGACTCACACCACATTCCTATCTCTGCTATTTCACAGCCAGCAGAAGAAGCCTGGCTGTTATTGACTGTCCACAGCAATGGCTTCGTGCATTCAATAAATAAATATTTACCAGACACCTACCGCCTGCCAAGTCCTGAGGCCTTTAACCTCAAACAAGATAGCGTGTCCCCTGCTTTCTCCCAGCACCTGGGGTGCCCGTGCTGTGGGAGGTGGGAGCAGGTGGGATGTCGGGAGCCCAGGCAGGTGTGGAGTCGGGGGAGGGGGATTGAAAGGGTCACAGAAGTACTTCTAAGAGTCTGGGGAGACGGCTCTGGGTAAATGCATCCCACGCAAGTGTGGAGACCCAAGGTCGGCTCTCCTGCACCCATGAAGAAGGGTTCAGACTCCTGTGTCCCCATCTCACTGAGCAATGCTGAGACCCTGGGCCTCAACCATCCTGAACCTCAGTTTCCCTAAATACAAAATGAGAGGCAAGATTCAGGAAGGATCAGGCACCATAGGTGTCCCTTAGGGAAGTGTGACCTCTCCCCTCCCAGGATTGATGATTAACCCTTGGCTACCTGGGGTCAGGTGGAACTGCTTAGCCACGATCTGCAACTGGGAAGCCTCCCAACTCACTTCTGCCCTCGCATTACCCCTCCCCCATCACTGTCCAGTGCCCAGTCTTGCCTGAGGCACTGGGGACCCCAAAAGGACAGAGAGCAGAAGGTCTCCAAAGTGGCTGTAGTGTGGGATCTGGAGAAAGGCTTCCTGGCAGAGGAATAAATACTTCAGCCGTAGACAAGGATCTGCATTAACAGCATGCCTATGGCATACCAATCGAATATTCTCAAGGCTCTCATCCCCATCGCTGGGGATGGAACCCGGGGCTTTGCAATGTCAGATAAGTTCTCTACCACAAGCCCCTAGGAATGGAGTCTCTAGATTTTCTTGCCATGGGATTGTGTGTAGTCCAGGCTAGCCTCAAGCTTGCTATGAAAATGAAGACGACTGAACATCTGATCGTCTCACCTCCACCATCCAAGTGCTAGGATTACAGATGCACACTCATGTGTGGGAGTGTACACACACACACACACACACACACACACACACACACACACACACGAGGTGGGGGGGGTGCTGGCTAAATGGTTAAGAGCATGTGCTGCCCTTGAAGAAGACAGTTCAGTTCCCAGCACCTACATCAAGTGGTTCACAATGGCCTGTAAGTCCAGTTCCAGAGGGTCTGAGGCCTCCACAGGTACCCGAATGCACATGTGAGTAACCCCCCACACCCCATATACACAGTTAAAAATAATAAGCCAGGCGGTGGTGGCACACACCTTTAATCCCAGCACTCGGGAGGCAGAGGCAGGAAGATCTCTGTGAGTTGAAGGCCAGGCTGGTCTACAGAGTGAGATCCAGGACAGCCAAGGCTACATGAAGTAACCCTGTTTCAAAGATCCAAACTTAATAATAATAATAATTCCTTTCTTTTGCTTGTTTGTTTTGATTTGGTTGGGTGCTTTGAGACGGAGTCTCACTCTGTAGCCCAGGCTGACCTGGAACTCACAGAGATCCTCCTGCCTCTGCCTCCTGAGTGCTGGGATTAAAGGCGTGCACCACTGTGCTGAGCCAAATCTTTTTTTTGTTTGTTTGTTTGTTTTTTTTGTTTAAGAAAACTATTAAGCCATAGAACAAGCCAAGTACTGGTATGCCTGTTATATCAGCACTCCAGAGGCTGAAGCAGGAGGATTGCCGTGAATTCAACAGCAAGACTGTCTCAAATACACACACACACACACACACACACACACACACACACACACACACGGCTGCTGAGATGGTCTGCCAGGTGAGAACCCTGGTCACCAAACTGACGGCCTGAATTCAGTTCCCAGGACCAACATGGCGGAAGGAGGAAGAGAACGGACGCCAAAAAAATTGACCTCTGACCTCCACGTACCCGTTGTGGCACGCATGTGCGCCAACGCACGCACACACACAGACACACACACACAGAGAATGAACCCATGTAATTTTTAATTTTTTAAATGAAAACAGAGAAATGAAAGAAAGCAGAACAGGCGCAGGGCGGGCTCCTATGGGGGAGGCAGTGTGTTCAGTATTTAGGACAGAGATCCTGGGGTCCCGGCTCTGCCACGCGGAGTAGCAGTGACCCCACTTCCCTAGGCTGAGGAGCCCTAGGCAAGTCACTCAGCCTCTCTGTGCCCTGTTTGCCCTGCTGTGGAGCAGATGTGTGGGTGAGACACCGAGGCGGGGGGGGGGGGGCACAGCTGGTGCTCCGTTGTCTGTCCTGTGGTCCCCTGAGAAGGCAGCGCCCGGGGCCGAGAAGCCTGTGACGTCATTCCATCACAGGCTGTACGACTACCTGGACCAAAAATAAATAAATAAATAAATAATAAATAAAATTCCAACGATCCCCTGTGCTGAGGAAACAGGTTCGGAGAAACCGAGTCATTGACGCAAGGTCATTGACACGGGGGTGGGGGGTGGGGGGCAGAGGGTGAGTCGCGGAGGGGCTGGGCTCCACAGTTGCTGGCTGGAACGAGGGAGAGGATGGGCTTGGAAGGCTAACACGGAGGGGGGAGGGGGGAGGCAATGTTTGTCAGCCAGCCCCTGTCCCTGACACCTCAGGCCACCACCGGACAGCCAGGACAGCCACCACGCCCGTCCTCTGGGTTGCTCATTAATCCTCATTTCACCACCTCAGCCCCAGGTGTGCATCCTGTTCCCGGGACAAAGAGACCTAGCGGCTGAACCTCCGACACTTGCCAACCAGCCTCCGTCACCCAGACTCCTCTCCCCTCACGCTCTGCCTCGCTTTGCACGAGTTTCTGAGCCACTCGGTGGGACCGGGGACCTGGCAGGTGAAGCCACACACGCAGCCAGTGAGCAACAACTAAGTGAGGGCGTAGGCATCTGGATTCCCCCTCCCCCCGACACACACACACACACACACACACACACACACACACACACCGTGGCTCCTTGGCCAAGTTCAAAGACTCCCCATCCCTGACCAAGAAGTCCGATCATCGCAGACCTGAGAATCCGGCCTTTCGGCATGATTTCCACCAGCCAGGCTAAGCTATGCCACCCTCTCTGGGAGGCCACAGTCCCGCAGTCACCCCATCCTCCCACTCTGTTGCCGCCCCCCCCCCCCAGCACCCAGCAGCCATGACTGAACCTTGGATGTATTTGAGTTTGAAACCCTGGCAGACACTCCCCACCACAACTCATCTGCCCAGAACGAGGGAAAGAGTTAGGGACAAAAAAAAAGCTAATGTGACTAGTTAGGCCGTCCAGCACAGAGACCAGGAACCAAGCTTTGAGGGACATTCAACCCAGGTGCACCTCCCAAGAGGCTTAAAAATTCATACCTGGACTGGAGAGGTGGCTCAGAGGTTAAGAGCACTGGCTGTTCTTCCAGAGGTCCTGAGTTCAATTCCCAGCAACCACATGGTGGCTCACAACCATCTCTAATGAGATCTGGTGCCCTTTTCTGGCGTGCAGGCAAACATGCAGGCAGAATACTATGTACATAACAAATAAGTAAACCTTAAAAAAAAAAAATTCATACCCAAGCACTGGGTATGGTGGTGAGCGCCTGTAATCCCAACACTTGGGAGGTAGAAGCAGGATCATCAGATAAAGGCCATTCTTGACTACAAAGGAAATTCAAGGCCAGCCTGGGATACAAGAGAACCTGCCTTCAAACAAACAAACAGACTCATAGCTAATCTGGGCATGATGCTGTATACCTCTAATCCCAGCACTCCGAAGGCTGAATCAGGAGAATGAAGAGTCCCAGGCCAGCCTGGGCTACATAGTGAGACCCTGTCAGGCTCATAGAACAAAACCCCTTGGACTTCACAGAAATGGCAAGATCTTGTAACAGAGATGGGGAGTTGGGTGGGGGAGTCCTTGACACTGCTGTCCACTGCCCCTGAAGGGATGCCTTGGGCTGGAGGTACAGAAGGTTCCCATGTAACTCAGCAGTTACCACCCAAGTGGCTTTGGCTCCTGTATTTGCTGCAACCCATAGAAGAAGAAAAAAAAAAAAAAACACCCTTGTCCCCTCAAATTAAACACTGCACGTGCACTTGGGGTATGAGGTGTTTTTACTACAGACCTCTTCACTTGCCAAGGAGCTGCGGCCACGTCTCTCTCAGGGTCTCTCAGGGTGCTGGATTTGGCCAGCTCCCCACGTCCGGCATGGGTCACCACCGGTGATGATAACCCCTGGGAGAGGCTCCAGCTATTGCCAGGTCCTGACCTTGGCTTGGTGGCTGCTTTCACACATCAGGGATCAGCAAAGACTGTTTGTCACTAGGAATGACGCACAGTGGGAGTCAGCAGCGGACAGTGTCACCAGGAAACCCAGGAGGGTTCTGGGAGCTCCCCACTCACTCAGTGAGGGTTGTAGCAGGTGACCACAGTGTAAAGAGCCCGGCGGCTGCCAAGTCCTCAGCTGGGACCACAGAGGTTGAACACAGAATCCAAAACAAGGGCGGCTCATTGTTCAGACAAACTCTTTTCTCTTTTTTTTAGCATTTTTAAATGTTTTTAGATTTATTCATTTATTTATTGGGTTTTGTGTGTGTGTGTGTGTGTGTGTGTGTGTGTGTGTGTGTGTGTGTGTGTAAGTATTATTTTGTTTTTTTGAGACAGGGTCTCATGTATCCCAGGCTGGCTTTGAACCCACTAGGTAGCCAAGGATGACCTCAAATCCCTGAGCCTCCTGTCTCTGTCTCCCAAGTGCCAGGTTTACGGGTATGTGCCACCACACCTGGCCACTTTTTATTTTCTTTAGAGACACACTCTCCTTCTGTACCTCGGCCTGGCGGCTCACACCTGTAACAACTGTCCTGCCTCAGCCTCCCATGAGCTAGGACGAGAGGTGTGAGCCGCCAGCCCCGTTAGGGGCCTCTCGGGGCTCTGGTTCAGGAGCAGATGGACAGAACGTGTTTTGGACGCTTGAGCTTACGTCCTGGCCACAGCAGCAGGAACAGAGACGGCTAGACAAAGGAGGGTTGAGGGTGTCGTTCATGTCTCCCTGGAGCGGTTCCTCAGCCGCAGCCGCTGGTGTCTCTTCTAGGACAGATGCCCCGGGCACTGTGTGGAACTATGATATTCTTCACTCTGATACAACTAAAAAAATCTCCAGAGACTGCTCAGAGCCCCCTGGATGCAAAAGACACCCCACCTGGAGAATGGCTGTACTGTCAAGGTGTGGGAAGGAGGCGTGTGTGAAGGGCTGGAAAAGGTGGTAAGGGTCGCGGCTGGGAATAGGGCTGAGCTGGGAGGGTGCTTTCCCAGCATGTACGAGGTCCTGAATTTACTCCGGCTATGGTGGTTGAGAGTTGTGCTGGGTATAATAGTCTGGGTTGGCCTCCGTGGTCTCTTAGTGTCTGCATAACGTTTGTCCAGGACCTTCCAGCTTTCATAGTCTCTATTGAGACATCTGAAGGTCCTGAGTTTGATCCTAAGTACCAAGTAAAGTAGGCACGGTTGGCACTCGCCTATGACCCCAGCATTCTGAAGGTGGAGGCAGGAGAATCAGGAGGTGAAGGCTATCTTCAGCTACTTTGTGAGTTGGAGGCCAGCCTGGGCTACGTGAGACTCTTGACTCAGATTTCATCTAAAACGTGAAATCTAGACCCTCCAGGTGTGTCCAAACTGCTCAGCCCACCCGCCTGTCCTTAGTTCAACTCTCTCCATCAGCTCTGTGTTCCCTAAAGACTCTGAGTCCCCAAGATAGCGTTTTCCAAGTTATCCTCTTCCTTGATGACTCTTAGCAAATGCCATCCTCCAGGCCTGTCCTCCCTACAGCATGGGACAAAGGAAGCCCGTACACTTGTGTGTCTTGGCACACTTGGGTGTCTTGGCACACGTGAGACGAACCCCCCCCCACACACACACACACAGGAGATACATGGCACGGGACTAGGACCCCAACACTCTGGCAATAGGCGCTGGTAAAGAGACACAAGGTGACTGTATCTACACAAGGGCTTTGTGACTCCATGTCATCCCGGCTTGCCTATCTCATGTCCTTGACCCACACCCTATGGTCATCCCTGTTGTAGGTGATTCGGGAGACCAATGAAAACACGCAGCTTGTTCTGCCCAGGGAGGTTCCTGGGCAAGCCGACTGTGCCGTAGTCACACTGTGTTTACTGGTATTCTTGGCCCAGCCAATGGGACAAGAGAGCTTTCTTGGCTGGGGAGGCCAGAGAAAGAAGCAGTCGGGCCACGTGCCTGTGCACGTGTGTTCGTGTGTGTGTGTGTGTGTGTGTGTGTGTACCCTTGTGGATACACAGGACTCTGCACACAGCCAGAAACAGGCCAGAGGCTTGGAGTCAAGCTGGAAGAGTTTTTAGATGGAAGAACTCCCAGTTCTAGGTCATGGTGGTGATGGTGGTGTTGATGGTGATGGTGATAATTATGGTGGTGTTGATAAAGAGGGTGGTGGTGATGGGGGTGATGATGGTGGTGGTGGTGGTGATGATGGTGTTGATGATGGTGGTGGTGTTGATGGTGGTGGTGATGGTAGTGTGGATGATGGTGATGATGATGGTGGTGGTGGTGATGATGGTGATTGTTGTAAAGATAGTAGTGATGGTGATAACGGTGGTGGTGATGTCAGTAGTGATTGCAGTGATGGTGATGATGAAGGCTACCAACACACACTGGCTGCCTGTCCAGTTTCAAGTCTGTCGCTCAACCCACACCCCCATCTGCAAAGCCTGGCACGGAGGTGCTGGCATCATCCCTATCTGCAGATGAGCAAACAGAGGCTGTGGGAGGGCAAGGTTCTTGCCTAGAACTGCTTATCTAGTAACAGTGGAGCCAGGATTTGAACCCAGTCCCCTGGGTCTTACCCATCTGCCCGTTTATATGCAGAGTCCTTAGAGGATGGCATTAACCAGCTCTGTCAATCACAGGGTTGGGAGTCCTGCCCAGGTCCCGCCTCTTGCTATCTCTGTGACCCGAGCCCCATTTCCAGTCTACATAAACCTCTTTTATGGTTTGACACTAATTTGGGGTTCGGTGGCTGAGTCCCATTCTCCCCTCCCCCCTTCTTTCTATTTTGAGACAAGAGCTCCCTCTTTAGTCCAGGCTGGCCTCGGACTCTTAGTTCTCCTGCCTCCGCCTCTGCTGCTCAGGGGTCGCAAGTGTGAGCCACCACGTGGCTGAGCTGTGGCTGTTTCTTGGCCCGGCTTTTCTGTAGTTGTGGGATGAACCCCCCTGAGCCCCTGGCAAGGGCTCTTTAGTGCCACCCCCACCCCCACCCCCAAGCCCTCGGGAGGTAAGTGTCTTACTTGCAAGTGAAGAAACCAGGAGGAAAGGGGAGGTGACAGAGTCGGAGGCCAGGATGGAGACCAGGCCTGAATGCCCTCCCCAGCCACCGCCCCAGCCTGGACCAGGGGGCGTGGCTTTGGGGGCGTGGCTTGCCTGGGCCCTTATTGGCTGCCCAGAGGTTTCTCCGGAGAATAAAGCCCTGGAGCAGAGCGTCCTGCCAGCCTTCTACTCTCCCAGGACACAGACACAATCTACCCTTCGCTCTCTGTGACCAGCTCCTTCTGTGCCAGGTACGTGGCCCCCAGCCTCAGCTGCACCCCAGAACTGACAGCCAGGGACAGCCAGAGTCGGGTGGGTACCCAGGGATGGGAAGAGGGGCTGGGGCACATCCATTCAAGTCTCCGTGTTCTGATCTGTAAAATGGGACGATGGTTTTAGGATTCTCCAGCTCAGGATGGCACAGGGGTGAGGTGCGGCAGGCTGTGTTTGCTGAGTGCCCAATGACAGGGGAGGAGGGACTTCCGCTCTGGAGTTCGTGCCCCAGAACAGCCACCTTTGCCAAGACCCCCCACCCCCCACCCCGACTCTACATTTTTTTTCCTCTCGTGAGTCTCATCATCTATAGAGCCGGGCGGGACTGGCCTCTGGGGTGAGAATCAGTACGGAGTACCCAGTCCATTTTCTCCAAAGGTCCCCAATGTTGCAGCCTGGGGCAGGGACCAGGTGGGGCTCCCCAAACCCACCTGGAAGGGGTGTGCAAGGTGGTGGGAACCACCCACCAGCCAGAGGTTGCATCAGCTGGGCCTTTGGGTCTAGAGGAGGCCCGGTGTGTCAGGATGGGGCCTAGCTGGGAGCTGAAGGCTAAAGCTAACAAGTTTGGAGGTACCCTTGTTTGCCATGCCCTTCTTCCCTGGCTGTCATTCAAGGGGTCTACTAGGAAGGGGGGCCTTAGTGGGCTTTGCCCGCTATCTCAACCCTTGAGAGGTAGGAGAATCACAATGAATTTGAGTCCATCTCTCTTGAGACCGAGGCAAGAGAATCACAAGTTTGAGTCTCTCATGCGCGCGCGCAGGAGCGTGTGTGTGTGTGTGTGTGTGTGTGTGTGTGTGCACACACATACACAAATGCACACGCGCATGCACACGCAAGTGCTCATATATGTAGATGCTCCCAAGAGTCACCATCTGCCTAGGCTGGATCCTACTTGGCCCTGGATCTCTCTTAGGGCTTCTCACAGAGCTTCAGAGTGACAGTGGCTGAGCCGGTGTTTACCCAAAGGCTTCCTCACTATCAGGGTTACCCAAGGGACCTCATGGTACCATTAGCCAAACCTGAACTTGTCATGTAGCCTCGAGAGTAGTCCTCTCAATGTGGGAACTGTGGGGTGAGGGTGAACTAGGGGTCTGTGTAGCCTCTCTGGTCCCCATGCCAGGAAAAAAGAATTCTGTTTTTTTAAAAAACAAGAGCCCCCAGGTGGTGGTGGCACACACCTTAATCAGGAGGCAAAGGCAGGTGAATCTCTGAGTTCGAGGGCAGCCTGGTCCACAGAGCAAGTTCCAGGATGGCCAGGGCTACACAGAGAAACTGTATCTGAAAAAGGAGGAGAAGGAAGAGGAGGAGGAAGGAAGGAAGGAAGGAAGGAAGGAAGGAAGGAAGGAAGGAAGGAAGGAAGGAAGGAAGGAAGGAAGGAAATGAGAATGAGAGCCTTTCATAGCTTAATACTGGGGTACCAGGTCTTTTTGCTTTTGTTTTGAGACAGTCTTATATAGCCCAGGATGTCCCTGAATGCCTAATCCTCTTGCCTTCACCTTTCAAGAACCAGGATTACAGGCCTGTACCAAGCCCAAAGGCTCATTTTTTAAAATATACATGTGCTGAACACCAGGTATGGTGGGGCACACCTGTGATCCCAGCAATTGGGAGACTGAGATAGGAGGATCAAAAGTTCAAAGCTATATGCAGGGACACTTGGCTCAGTCTGGGAGGAAGGGACTGGACCTGCCTGGACTGAGTCTACCAGGTTGATTGCAGTCCTCGGGGAAGGATTTGCCCTAGAGGAGGTGAGAATGGGGGGTAGGCTGGGGGTAAGGGGAGGGGATGAGAGGGGGGAGAATAGGGGAACCCGTGGCTGATATGTAGAACTGAATGGTATTGTAAAATAAAATAAATAAATAAATAAATAAATAAATAAATAAATAAATAAATAAATAAATAAATAAATAGTTCAAAGCTAGCCTAGGCTACATGGTAAGAACATAATTTTTTTAAAGCATATATTGGGTTAGGACT